GCTTGGTTGTTCGAAGGGGGCCGAGTACTTGTTTGTGCATGTGGTCGAGTATCAGAGATGCTGTCGAAGATTCGGCAATCACCCGGACCATGCCACAAGCGAAGGCCAGTTCCTGGCATTCAACTACGGACCCTTTCGTCGTCCCTGCGAGCAGCAGTGTTGACCGCTGCCCTCCGTGACTCATCTGGCGAGGGGGAAGCTGTTACGACCGCCATCGGTAGGCGCCATGCTGTCGCTGAGAAGCGTAGCCGGGCCGCGTTCCACGCCTGGAACCCAGGTTTTCTTGGAACCAGCGTCGAGAGCTGACGGGGGAGCGGCGCTCTTTTAATCCTCAAACAAGTAGCCGTCTCGCCGAATGCCTATGCCCGCCAGGTATTGTCCCTGCTAGCCAGCGGATGAGACGTCATGTCGCCACAAAGCTGTAAGCCGTTCCAGAGGGGACAACAAAGACAGCGTATTCCTTTGAAGAAACGGCGACCGCCGCCACAAAGTGCCCTGCTAATTGAGCGGACAGATTGGCGGACCGTTTGATGTCTGCTGTCCGAAGCTTGGAACCCCTCGACCAGCGACATACACGACGAGCAAGAGCCTCTCTGGCGCCACCTTTAAGTGCAGTGATCTTGACTCGAAATTGGCTGTTCACGTACGCCGTGCATGCTCGTACCCCTCACCTGTTGTGTGTGTATGTGATTGGTGTTCCACTGAAGAAGGAGGAGCCCGACAGGGCTTATAACGGCGCCGCAGAGTGCAGGACGTCGCTCTGAACCAAGTAAAGGTTCAACCACCACGTTCGTAGTTGGTGAAAGCTCTGAACTGTGTAACGGTTTAACCACCACGCTCGTGGTTCGTGAACTCTTAACATCATGCTGTAAATATTTGTAAATAGTGCCATAAACCTTGTTTGTTTTTTCGTATCCCCATCTTGTAAGCGGTCGTTTCCTCAACCCGAAGCTACACCACGCTACCACAAGAGACCGGGTTTTGTTTTCGTATCCTCCAGCGACCTTCCTTCCGACCCGCAACAACTGGTTGGCAGAGGTGGGATACGACTCAGCACCCCGAGCCGCAACAGCGTTACGTTACTGGGTGTTATTTTTTCTCGCGTACGACCGTCAACGGACGTCTCTCTTTTGAAGTCTCTGGTGGTCTCACCGCGAAATCCGTCGGCTTCGGTGGTTGAGCAATTTTTTTCGCACCTGATAAGAAGTCTTGCAATATCGCCCACCTCAGCACCGACCTTTTTTAACAAGATAGGAAAGCCGTTTCTATTTGTAGCACCTCGAGTACGAAACGCTGTTGTGTACTACAGTACGTGTTCCTTGGTTGTGCGAAACGTTTGCATGCCCTTCTTACAGGCCTTGCTCTGTTCCGGACCAAACATCACTAGTGAACATTCGCGTTCTTACGCTTTCTGATGGCTACATGCCTCTGTGGCGACACAGAGATTGCCCATTCTTGAGGTTTCGAGGGGTCCTGAACCATCCTTTGCGCTTGCAAAAAAGACATACGGCGTGAAGCAGACACCGCTATGAACAGCTCAGTGGCGGCCGCTATATAAAAGAGAAGGTTCTTTTTTGATTATTCAGGGGCCACGGCTCAGCCAAATATTTCAATGTGTGGTGAGGAGCGTTTACAAGCTCAGCGTGAAGTTTACACATTTAGAGCTTTTAGGCAGGCGTTCTGCATGGGTTGAACAGTGTCGCGGTTGTCACCGATGGCATGCCGATAGAGTGTAAATATATTCAGGATCGATTGGCATTTGAACCCGGGCCCTCGTCGTGGGAGTCGAGTATTTCGCACACAGATCTACACCGGTGCTCGAAACTCGTTCGCAAAAGATATATGTCCCTCCCTATACAAGTGTAATGTCGAGCAAGCGATTGAGCTAACCTATTTAGTATAGCATGGCAGGAGAATAAAATAACGGCCCGTCATCACACAATGCTGATTGCGCGACAAGTGTATAGTTTAATGCCTCCCACCCACTGCGAACTGCTTGGCCATAATTATTCGCAATCATCAGACGTTTGCGGTGCCCTGCGTTACAGGTTTAAAACGTTACATCGTCCAAGTAGGATGTTGCGCCACGCAGTACGGATTTGAGGACGAAGCTACGGGCAGTAACGGGCCCACGACGCGGCTAAGGTGGCCAGGAGCCACCCGAACGTGGCGGAGAGGTTAGGCTTATCTGTCCGGACGTGGGAGCGGCCTGCTATACGTGCCAGTTCACGCCCCGACGGACCTAAATAAAGTTTCTCCGTACCATACCATCAGACATATGGAGTATGAATAAAGTGCGCGCAATGCCTTGCAGATATGCGTAGCGGGCGCCTCGCTTAACCGTAGAAAGACGAAGAATGGCGTAGTAGGTGCTGTCGTATACGTCACAAAAATTATGAGTTATGGCGTATACATACTGTTCATGTGATCTCACTTCCGCCATTGTCGCCATCTCCCGCTATGTCCGGGTACCTCGCTAGGTACATACAGCTGTTTGCGTGCTGCAGCGTGGTTTGTTGAGGGCTCGTCATCTGCTGCTGTGCGCGATGTTTAAAGAAAAGCCGTGTGGTTTTTCGTTGTGGTGCTCTAACGAGCTCATCGGGTCAGGAAGACCTCGCTTGTTCACTCGATACAAGATCAGAAAATCAAAACGTGTGGCACGTATACCAGCCACCGCATACACCGGCTGCCCGCCACGATCTACGAGGGCCCATTGTCCCGCTTTCACTACAAATTGCGTGGCTCAAGAACAAGTGAAAGCTCTCGGGCCGCAATTTTAAAAGTGGATGAGCGAAGCGCACAGCTCCCATCGAAAACGAGTCATCGTGCAGAGCTGGGCAAGTTTACAGGAGATATATTATTAATAACAATTTTAATATATTGCTGTGGCCCACACCACCAAAGTAGCAGTGCGGCTCCCCGAGTGTTTTAAACAGTGCTTATGTTGAGCGTTTTTGATTGGAATTTGTGGAAACAGCCGAAGAATATATTATGCAAGGTAGAGACTTCGCGTGGTGCGTGCCACGCTGATGCCGGTCACTTTTATTTTTCGCGTATGTTTCAACTCATTTTGAACCTTGTATATTACTTTTGTTGTTGTGCGCTAATGTACAGTAGAGTCCCTAAAAATGATAGAGACCGTTTTATATGGAATCAATCAACCAATTTTGAAAAAAACTGGACCCCCCACTCGAACCGATCGGCTATACTTCAAATCGCGAGTGAACGAATATTGTTTCACATCCATTTTCACAGCTTGTTTGGATGCAACACTCGCATTCCCGCGATCGCCTTCACAATTTTAACCACCTCCCTGACACGCCGATTGTGCACGCAGCGGTCGCGGACAAGTTTATATATACAGTACTTATTTCTGTTTGCAGGTACGTGCTTGGACGTAGCACTTACCCGTAATGAAGTTAGACCTAAACACGCAAATATCACCGGTTCTTCAAGTCGCTTTTGTTAATCTGCGCCAGCCAAACATATGCCGGTGCTTTTCGGAAAATCGCAATGTGCGTTCTCAATTTTAGGCACTAACTTTCGGCAAAGAGAACACCCCGATGCTCTACTCGCTCTTCGTGGACTCCTATATCAACTTGCCTCACGAGCAGCTGATAATTGCTCAAACTTGCATCGTTAGGCAAAACTGAACGGGCGCATGCACGAGGAAACAACACGGCAGTGGTCGGTCACGGAGTCAGTAGGTACCCGGGCACCGGGCATGTCGGTGGCACATTTCGAAAGTGACGGATCGGCGCTGCCTGACGCGCGTGCACACTTTGTATTCAATACCTTGCGAAAAGCCGAAACGTCAAACATAGTTGGCATTGCCCAATGCGCTAAGAATTTGCATTTGGCAGTGTCGTAATCATCGGTGATTTTTTTTTTCAAGCGCGCTCTCTTAATACACTGGCACGTTTCCTCCCTTGCTTTGGTGGGCGCGACGCCAGCTGCATGTCGTCATGCAGCAGATTGCTGCGATTGGCTGGCAGCTTACATAAACCAAGAGCGCCATTATACATCAGACGCATCTTTCTGCCGCGCGGTGCCGCCACGCGTCGGCGCCGTGGTCAATACTTTCTGCAGTGATTCATTCCTGGGGAAGTAAATTGCGATGCTAAGTTGAATGATGATTCCTTGAAAATGTGGTTCAGCCATCCTTTAAAATATGTTATCCAGCGCACTGCACCGCTAAATTAGCGGCCATGCTGAATGCTTCCACGCTACAGGGAACTATGATGATGACGGTCTCTCAAACAGATGACGAGATGACACGTATACTACCATCGCTGTGAGCGGCATCCGAGTTCAGTGCACGACTCGCCTGAATAAAGGTGTCGGTAAAACAGTGTTTTTACGATATGCCACTCTATCCTGTATTCATGGAGTTTCCTAAAACTAACAATAGAGTGTATACTCTGGCGCTGGGATCGTTCAGTGGCCATGGGAATGGTGGGTAGTACATGGATTTTCTTAGTCTTTGTACATGCCTGCAGCAAATCGCACTTGTAACTTCATTCATCGCTGTGTTTTGGTTTTGATTTGAAGGACCGAATGCACCCTTTTGAAGTTCATGACCCTATTTGAAATAGTAAGTGGAAAAAAATAAGGTGGTGAAGGGCAACTGCTGAACATATGCCGATTGTTGTTTTGTGAGGAAACAGCTCTAAGCCATATGAACACACACGGAGCCAGAAGTACGACGATTAGACCACTCCGTATGCTACCCATCATTCGTGTTCGAAGAAGCGCCATGCATTGCAGCTGCCATAGAGACTACCACCAGAGTTTCCTTTAGTGTAGGAAACTCTGTGCTTGTACCACCCTATAGCTCTCAATTACTGGCCCATCTACGGCATGCCAGCTCGATGAGCCGAAAGTGTCAGCACACCGTTTCTTCCGCGTCCTTTACCAGGCGAGACTTGTTGTGCATTAGAAAGTGCTGCAAACAAATGAACGGTGCTGGGGAAGGAATCACGTATACAACACAATAAGTGCATCAGGTTGGTAATAAGCTTTATTCATTACCACACCTTTACTCATGGCAATAAATAAACATGAGATCTTTGGTTCGGACAGCCATCCTGAGGTGTCCTTCAGAACCAAGGAACATAACAGTGAAATGTTCGCCAAATAGCTGCTGATATTTGAGCAATTTTATCACTCTTTTGATCACCGAAAAGTAACGACGCATGTCTTCTGCATCACACGTTGGCACACTAGTCCAATGTAGAAAAAAAAATCACTCGGGTGTGTCACATATGCCCTAGAGTTCTAGAAGTCCTTCGCTGTAGAAGTACATAAAGTCATTCACAGTACAACAAAAAAAAAAAGCATTAACGTGCACTTTCCAAATGCACGGCTATATAAATAAAAATGCAGATAACGAGTGTTTTTTTGCTCCTGCGGGAAAACAGCAAGACGCTAAGATCCTAAATCAGAATGTGGCACATATTTGTGGCACCCGCACCTTGCTTATATTACACAGTTTGGCATATGCTGTACGCACAAATGTTCAATCACCGAGTTTCACAGCTGACGAACTCGACCACAGGCTTGGCCTACTAGTCATCTAGCATTGGCGGCTGAAGTAAAATCCATTCGATGCCGAGAATGAATTGCCGGCTCACGAAACCAACGAACTCAGCGAGCCCCACAGTTGACGAACGCGACAGAGTTCTTTCTGCGGGGCACCTTATGATCGCCTTTGAAAGACTGTCCGGACATCGAAGGCGACGACGAATCGTTAGCGCACTCAGCAGATGAGCTCCACGCGCTCTCTGTCAGAGAAGGCGATGACGTCAACGACGACGAGTCAGTTGACGGGCCCTCCTCAAAGCACGGCGGCTGTCCTAGACCGGTGGGCGTCCCTTCGTCCACTGGAGACATTCTCAGGAGCGGCGGCGGCGGCGTCCTTCGCGAGCTCGCAGGTCCGGACGTGTCCACCGCCAGTCGCCTCTTCTGCGCGCCTCCGTCTCCGTTTGCGTTCGACGCAGAAGAAGAGGCTCTTGAGTTGGACGCCGAGTCGGTGACGTTGAATATCTCGGTGACGCGGACCCGGTGCGTCGCCGCGTCCGTGTAGTAGAAGGCCATGAGAGCGTCCTTCTGCTGAGTCACGTCCAAGATGTGTTCGAGTTTGTCGGCGTCTTCCTTGCTCTGGCATCGCTCAATGCACTCCTTTTCCCAGGTGAGCGCCTGGTTGGTGAGCGCAATGGCGTCGACCGTGGTGTCTTCCTCGCGGTCCTCACTCAGGGTTCGCAGTGCCTCGACGACGCTCTGCCTGCGGCAGCGTTCCAGGGGTCCTCCAACCACTGGGCCCTGCGGTCCAGCCGCGGTAGCGCCAGCAGCGGTGCCGCTTCCCGACAGGTTCATAGTGAAGCCGAAATTGAGCGAGCTGACCACGGTGGCGTCCTCGCTGCCCGTTCGTCGGGGCAACGCTATGCCCGCGTAGGACGACTTGCGCTGCATCACGCGCTGACGCTGCTGCAGCCTGGGGTTGCCGCGAACCAGGTCTTCGAGGCTACGGCTGCGCAGGTCATGCCTCAGCATCGGGGCCGGCAGACGACGCGGAGGAGGGCCGGTCGGCGTCTTAGACCGAGGCTCCGGTTCGTCCGGCGTGTAGTTAAACTCGGTGATGTTAAGCTGGCAGGAGAAGCGCGCCCTGTAGAGCGGGTGCTTGCTCTGCAACTTGGAAGTGAAGTCGCGTGCCAAGCCCAGGGTGCGCATGAGCCGGCGGCGGATTTCCCGGCGCATCTTGGGCAGCAGTTGCCACATCCTGCGAGAAGAAGCACGAGTGAGAAACTGACGTGATAAGCGGCTAAGCAATACAGCGCTTGATACTGAACAGATACGCCATGCGTCGTCTGATAACGTATATGCCTATATGCGCGTGTACAATGCAGATGTCCTCGCGTTTAACTTTTCTCGCCCTTTCGACCACACGGAAGTGGGTTCAGCAAACCATGCTACTAAAATTTGCCAAGAGAACAAAGCTATGTAGCAAAGTCGTATCAAATGTTTCTCTTATCTCTCTAACTACAAAATGACATTCGAGGAAAATGAAGCAAGAGGCCACGAGAAACTCCGGCTTTTTCTCTTTTGCATACAACCAGAGCTGATTAATACAAACATAGCAAAACAATGTAAAGAAAGCCGAACCTACAGCAACAGCGTGCAATGAGCAAACTACACAAGTCGTAAACGGGGTTCATTAACCATCTATCACGCACCCATGGTAAGCAACTCGCGAGAGAAGACATTACGTTAGCAATCGAATTTGTTAAAACAGTCAGTGATTCCAGATATAACAAACTCCAGTTCATAAGCCGTTAAGACTATAGTCACAGAGATTTTTTTTCCCCACTGAACAGACTTCTTTTCTGCAGTACGAACAACACTCGATCACAGCATGAAAATTTAACTTTAATCATTCGAAACACTTCCACACTTTTCACTCCAAGACCTCTGCGATAACATCCTCTCAAAAACAAAACCTTCCGTTGAGACAAGGGAAGTAAACATAGTAAAAAAATGATTCCAAATGTGCATGTTAAACTGCAAATGTAGTCGAAAGACGATAGTCTTGCGTCTGGAGAGAGTGAACAAAACGTTTATTTGATGTTCTGCGCAAGAAAATCGGTGAATGGTATTCTGGAGGCGCTGCGTTAGAGTGACTGGAGCGTGTAGCGGAGGCAAACGAGCGCATCGAGGCACGTTAGACACAAGCGCCATCTGGCAGTTATCTTCGAAAACGAAGGTGCTCAGCCCGCTGAGAAAGATGCGCGCCAGTTTCGGAGGTGATAAGGTGTAGAACGCAAAGCGACGGGCAGATGCCACCACCGTGACGTCGTAGCAAAGCGTTGGAAACACCTCTATGAGCATCGCGTTGCACTGTTAGCGCAGCGCGTTATACGCTACTCTCTTGTGTGTGCCTCTTCCTTGTGTGTTCTTGTGTGTTACTTGTTACTTGTGTGTGCCTCTTCCAGTATAAAGGCAGACATACAAAACTTCGAAGTGTTGTTATGGCACCTCAGATATGCGCAATAGTTACTTTTTAATTGACAATCACACAATTATGAATGCTAAACCTTGAGCAATATTGGCGGGCGCTGCGAATGGGGTTGGCCATTTGATGCCGTTTGAGATATCATTTGGGGAGACGAACAGAAAAATGTACAGGCAGACAGACATACAGACAGACAGACCAAAATTTTTCCGTCGAAGGTCCCCAAGAAAGACTATCATCTTTAAAAAAATGTGGGTAGCCTACATTGACGACCTCACACGTCATTTATGAACCAGGAAAATGAGCGATGAACAGGCTGAACTTTCTTTTCATGCTTACTTGCAAATAACGACGATGGTAATGTCGATGGGCAGCACGTATGGAATGGTCAGTATGGAGAGAAGCTTCATAGGGCGGTGCCTGAAGAGCCAGTTGATCACTCCTTTGTTTAGCTGGTCAGACGCATCTTGGATAGCTGTACACAGAACAAAGAGGGCGGGAGTGAGAAATGAGATTGCGGACACCTTGAACGCGATGACTGCGCAGCTCCGTGAGCGAATATCTAACATATTTAGGTAAAATTACATGTGTCCAATTTATAAAACGAAATTTCGCAAGATATAGACTCCAAGTTCTTACAACGAAAAACAAAAAATATAAACGGGGCAGTACAAAATACAAAACTACAACCACACCCAGCCTCTGTTACACCCAACATACTCACACCACTGAAACGCCAATAAAGAGCTACCAATATCATGCAGCCCAATTTGTATATAACTGAATACAACAACGAGGTGCACTAAGATATTTAACAGCTGTCACAGAAACTTTCCAGTTGCATCCCTCAGCCCTCCTGCTGATGGTAGCAAGGCTTCAACTGCAATCATGGATGTCATGCCTTAATGGAGGAAGACTCTAAGGTTAGAGAGAAACGTTTTTTACGAAGCCATTTATATGAAGTCCACTGGAGCTGGTGTAGGACAAGTTGTATGGCGAATGCAGAGGGTGTCGAGGAAAGGTTAAGTAAAAGTGTTCACATGCTGTACAATCAGAGATGATGTTACAGGGAGCCCTTAGCACACCAACATCGGCTAAAAAGTACGTTTTCACTCTCAGTGACGAACGTATTTGTCCCTTGATTATATATACAGCATGTGAAATGCCTTCACCATCTGACTGGTGACCTCGAAGCCACAACAGACAAAAGAACGCTACCAAATTCCGCAATATTGTCGAATGTCATCATTTTTTCAGCCCTCAATGGCCCTTTTTATTGATCTAAAAATGCCAATGTTTTTTTTTTTACATTATTAGCCGGAATAGCACCCTCACCAATTATGGGCGTGCAGCACGCGGTGATGGGGGAGAAGGGCATGAGGGCACTACATTCTAGAAGAAGATCGAGTAAAGAGGGTATCTTTTTGTCCAACAATAATCGTCATCAGGCTTGCCTGCGCTTCCTTTCTTGAAAAGTCGGCGCTGGCCACTTTTCTATCAAGAGTGCTATGTAATGCTAATAACACCATTGGTGACCTGAAAGTACCGGGCGCGCAGCGATAATGCAAGGAAAGGAACGCAAGATAGATCAAGATTATTGTTGCGGGACCAAAAGACGCCCTTTTTACTCAATCGTTTCTCAGGGTGTACCTTTCTCCCGCATAGTAACCTTAGGGAAGGGGGCCAAGGTTTGCCCTATATTTTTTTCCGTCAGACCTGTCCAGTCATTGTTCCCACACGGCCATCGACCAAAGGCAAGGCCATTCATTGTGAGATACACGTGATCCCTTCATTTTTCTCACTTTCGTTCACAGTAAAGCATGTCGTGTTTTGGACTCGACTATCGAAAGAGAAGAAAGGGTGTCGCTACGATGACAGATTGCGATAATAACACGCCTATGACAGCAATTAGGAAGCTGCAGCATTCACCGCATACGAATGTCAAGCTCGAAAACCACAGCTCACCTCTAACGATGGTCTCGGGCAGACTGTCGGTGAGGGCGAACTGCTGACGCAGCTTGCAGCTGTGGCAGTTGTCACACGCCTGCTCGGCGTCCGAGTCGGCGCTCAGATCGGGGCTCGACTCAGGTTCTGCCACAACGAAGCTTGACTGTACCGCCAAGCAGCTGGTGCAGGAGATCATGTCTGCAGTACGGGAAAGGTACGGTTTGTTCAGGTCTGTCAAAGTGCATGAACGGAGTGACACGTATGTGCGTTCAGTGTACCCGAGAGTATGTGCAGCACCCCACGTCAGCAGTAACACGATCATTAGTGCACCCGCAACGGTATCTAAAAAAGTTTGGCGTATATCTCAGTCGTCGGATTGAGATTGAAGAATGACAATGTCGTTTTCGCAACGGGACGCGGGCTATTTCACAGACGTTGGGCAACGATAGCCAAAGAAGCAGGCTTTATCCGTACTCGTCAAGCTAAGTTTTCATTTTATTTTTTTTATTTTTTTACGTATTTTATTGTTTATATCAGTCAGATATATCACACGCCATTGTATAAGTGTTGGTAGGAGAGGTTAAGATAGATTTTATACCGGTACTTGTTGAAAAGTATGCTGATATAGGACTATTCAGACGTAGTGCAAAAAACTGGCCTTCGCCATTACGCCTATAGTTGACTACCATACGCACTGCATAGTTTCGATTTCAGACCGCCCCCATCTCAACCACAACACGCACTCAACACGTGGTTTCCTTTGTGGTACCAGCCACTAAAGGGCTGACATAGCATGACATAGCGGTGTTCCCTGCCGAGGTTATCTTTAAAGATGCACCGTTGCGAAACGTTTTAATGCCACGAAGGAGCGTTCGTGATTAATGCAGTGTGCACTTTATATTTCAATAGATAGCGTGACCTTGATAATTAATCTGGCGGATGGAAAAATGTGAATAGGGGATATATATCTGCACTACCTTCTAGCACTGGGAGAGAGCACGCGTCCTGAGATGTTACGTGGAAATTCGGCGCGGACCCAGGCGCTGTCGCGGAACGGTGAAATAGAAATTTTACCTGATTTCAGCATCCGAAGGCTGGCTGTTCGTATCGGAGAAATAAGAAAGAGCAGGGAAAGAAAAGTTAAAGCCGACGAGCCACGCGGCACGATATAAGCACGGCATCAATGACAGAAGATTTCGATTCTTTCTCAGACGTCACAATGGTTACGTTATGCTTTCGCTGCAAAAAGAACGGCTAATAAACGAAATCCAGTAAATTGAAGCAGATAAGGACATACGAGTGATAACCTTCAAGGTGGGCATACCTGAGTCGGATTTATCAAGCTACATCTTTACCAGAGATAATTTTTTTTTCCTTGAGCAATGTTTTAGCAAGCAGCTTATCATTGCCTGCTGGGATTGCTCGTATTGCACTGTCATCCGACTTGGCGATAGCTTAAATATACATTGCATACGGTGACGTCCTGTTGGCCATGGCCACAGCACATTGCAACAAAGTGCCACTGTCACAAAGTGATAACAGAGATTACAAAGAACAGCAAACAAAACGCCGGTGCGATTAACTTACTGTGCTTTTGCAGGAAGCGAACAGCGTCGTCGAAGCCCTGCTGACACATTCGGCTAAGTATCTCGGGGTCGGGCGGAAAGAAGATACGGGCAGCCCTGTACAAGTTTCCCGGACATATCTGCACGAGAGGGATAGATAACAGTCGCTTTCATCTCAGTGTCCCCTTCACGCGTTTATGCAACGCGCCACACATACTGCATGCGCACGTGTGGACGGAAGAAATAACTGCACCAGCGATTGAACAAGGTTTCGAATTTAAAGCGACGTAAGAAATAAATAAAGCGGTAACTGCACACATCCCGCTAATCGTATACATTTGTAACATAACGCTTTTCGGTTTCTCACCGAAGTAATCGAATTTTTATCTTCGACACGGGGTTAAGCGAACATTAATGTTAGCGAATGTTTAGCCAAGCACTTATGTATACAGGAACGCGAGCGTGCAAGTTTTTTCACGGGTGCCGAATCAAACATGCATCGATTCAACGCAAGTCATGCTGTCTAAAAATAAAAGTAGAGCGCAAATAGAGACAGGACACAGGTAACAAGTAGTAGACAGGATAGAATGCTGTTGACGTATATACTTGGTGTACTTGCTCAAGTGTTTCGACAGGTGCAACTATTAGGAATAATCACGGTCACTAAAGGAGAAGCAAGCGTCAAGTCATGCAAATGAATTGAGGAAAGCTTTTTCTTTTCTTCTTGAAATATCTCGCGCGCCCCTCATGCCCAGAATAGCCATCCTCACAGTCTCGGCCCACTCACCGATATGCTGGTGTTGCTGAAGTTGATCTGCGTCAGGTTGTAAGAGTCGTCGATGGGGCAGATGTCACTGTCGCCGGCGAAGGGCGACACGGTCACCGTGTTCTCATCCAGCGACGGCTGGTTGTCACTGAAGCCACCGTCCATGTACGCCTGCGATCATGCGCACCACGCACGTCAGCTCTGCATGTCGTCACTCGATCGGTGCACGCACCGAAAACGGTCTTCGCCGCAGGCTGAACTTACCACTCCGTTAATTTTCGGTGGCCTCAGGCCGGAGTAGAACGGTATGAAGCAGCTGCACTTCAGCGCCTGCAATCGAGAACGAAATTAGGCGATCGTTACACAGGTATGTGTACAGGTTTATCTGTTGTGCGAAGTTAGCTGTATGCATACACGTTTAACGGTATGTTCCAAAAAAGTGTGCGAATGTAAAGATAGGGAGGTGTACAATTTAATAGACAATAGGAGACGCACACGTGCCAAAGCACACGCCTACATAAACGGAACAAGCACTCGCATGGCGCAAAATCTAAAGCTCTCTATTCATTCGGCCCACCATGCATGGCTGCGGTATACGAAACGCGGTGCATATGCATGACGGCTTGCGCAACACTTGAGACTCCTTGAATACACGGAGACCTTTCCTGCCACTCTTCCTTTGTTGTAATGTGCGCACACGGAAATGCGCACTGTACGATGTTTTGGGGAACCAATGTGACCACCATTACTCGAACGTGACTATTATAGCTATGTACACTACTACACTAGGTATTGCGGAGACGATCGGCTAATGTTGTTACGCGCTACTCTTCGCCCCAAGTGGCGTGATGCGTGTACATGTAGCAGAGTTTATACGGACCAAAATAAGGAAGAAGCTGGCGCGGTCGAATGTGCCAAAACGACGATATGCGATCATGGGACACGCTGCATATGTATTGCGGTAGTTACGCAATTCATTCTGACCACCCGGATCGTCTTAGCCCACACACGTATGTCTGACCACAGGGATGTTTATACAATTCCGCTTTATCGAAATGCGGCAGCCCAGGCTGGGAGGAAATCGAACCTCCAACGATGCGCTTAACGAAACAACGCCATACATCATCTCCAAGAGGACTACCAGTAATTTATTTATTTTATTCTGTACACCTTCCATCACAGCCGAAGCATTGCAGAGGGGAGGTGTGTTAAGATAAAAGAAAAAAAAGGAGTGCAGTATTAACGTTTAAACATGTATATGGGCGCTTTTGCCGCCGTCTTATAACTTCGTCTGCGAGCGAATCGACAAACGTCGAGGAAAAACACAACACAGGTATACTATATGAGGTCACTTGACGCTGCAATAGATATGTTAAGATCCCCAAACGGGCCGATGCGCGGTGTTGCGCGTGATGGTGGCGTATTGTCGACGTTTGGGAGAGTTGCCAAGCGGTAGAGCGTGTCCCCAAACATGGCAGAATGAAGTCCAAGAAGGCGGATTCTTCCGCTGTCCCGCCTATTTCAATACGCGATGGCGACTAACATGCATGTACTAAACGACGCTGCCGGTTATACGCACGACTATACGCCATGCAATCATGGTACCCGTGTCTTTCGATAGCGCGTCCGCGCGCTATCATGCTGAACCTAAACTAATTGCCGAACACGACGAAGCCGCATTAGATGTACATGCACCTTCAGAGATATTATAATAACAACTCGCAACGATGCGGAGGCTAGGGAGTAAATGCGTTTAGCGTTTGTCATAGTGCAAGGCGAAAATCTGTAGGAACGTCAGCATCTATGCGTGTCTCCTGTTATGGCGGGCGACAGCACACTCTCCGTATAGCTATTCCCCTCGTCTATACGTTCATGGGTGTAACGTACGTACAAATAAACTTTATGGACGATTACATGCGCTTGAAGAGTATATATGCTGTGTTAGCGATCTTTTTTTTTTTTTATTGCGACAAAGACTTGTCTTTGAGGCGTAATATCTTTGTTAAATGTGTGCTGTTAGGCCGGTGTTGTGTATAAAGTGAAGCACTGCCTTGTGGAATCTGTTTTCATGTATCCAGCGGATGTAACTGGCTGTGTCGTTGTAGCGAAGGCCGGCTTGAGCGAGGTGACGGGAGCGTTCTGGCTGCAGCCCTCTACATGTCCATAAAAAGTGGTATGTATCTGCTTGCATCGCAGGAGTGGGACAATACGGACACGTATCACCAACTCGTAAATGTGACCAGTTCCATGACGATATAACGGCCGGTGTAAGGGCCACCCCTGCCCGAAGCCTCCTGAGCACAACTTCCTCCGCCTTAGTAACGTGAGGGGCGATCGCTTATCGTATGAAAGCAATGACAGACCTATAAACATACATGGAAAGCATCGAAGTGCGACACATATTTCGCGGGGGGATGATCTACACCTGGCGTACTTATTGCAGCTTTTTCCGTATAATAATACGTATCCATAAATGCGGCTCAATACCATAATAAGTATTGTGTCGAAGTATTTGCCTATTGAACTTATGCGTAAATTCCTACAGGGCAAGAGTCGGAGTGCAAATAAAGTGATCGTAAATATGCTTCAGTAGAGCGTGGACAATGTAAAACTGTAATGTAAAAATATAATGTATAATGTAGGCATGTAAATATAATGTATAAACAGATAAAAACTATATGAGCGCGTAGATGGCAAAAGGAAGAAAAAAAGAAAAACAAACGAGCCTAGCCAGACAGCGACGCATTTTCTGAGCAGCACCGTGAAAGCGCTTTATAGTTAACATTCGATTAGGGGTCTTTTGCGGAAGAAAAGATGTTGCGAGCCTGGCCTCTCAGCTCATCAAGCCACGAGAGCCCTCCTGATATGCTGCGCTACGTGCGTTGCAAAAGGTTGTGTGCACTGACTGTTTTCTTTCTTGACCCACTTATTACCCTCTCCATTTGCAGGGCAGCAAGCTGGACGTATAGTCTATAGTTAACATCCCTGCCTATCCTCCGTTCTTTCTCTCTCTCTCTCTTTTATTGAAGATTGCACGCCACGGAGTGCACTTGTATCTAGGATGGTGCTGAAGAGGACGTAAAGAAAAGAAACGACAGGAAAAAAAAAATAACCGCATGATTGGCCGCATACCTGCGTGACGGCTTTCTCGATTCGTAAAAAAAAACTTAAAAAGAAATACGTACGGAAGATGATCGGGAATGATTACGTAACCTGAACGCCCGCGGCGCGCGATACGGTTTTCTACGCCCGTCACCGCCGCTTCCTGGCGATCGTAATAAAGGCAACATAAAACGATCACGCGCGAGAGTCGCGCGACGTGGCTGCTGCCTCTTACGCCGACGACAGAAAAGAGCCTTGAAAAAAAAGAGAGAGAGAGGCCGACTAGAAGAAACGTCGGTCTGGTCACCGTCAGGAGGCGATCATACGACACACTCGTCACACGCTTCGTCCAAGGGGCTCAAGACAGTAGTACGAAGCCGCAGTGACTAATTTTATTTTATTATTTTTTCTTCCTTCTCGCTGTGCAATGTTGCACGACCACAGACAGCCTCACAGCTCTTTACCGAATGCACATTCGCGAGAAGTCGAGGCTCGTTCCCAGAATCCCTAACTCTCAATAATCATACTATTATTATTTCTTTATTATTACAATTTCTACACATCTCGCGTTGTGTGCAAACTTTTTTTGTGTTAATGTATGTATGTATGTATGTATGTATGTATGTATGTATGTATGTATGTATGTATGTATGTATGTATGTATGTATGTATGTATGTATGTATGTATGTATGTATGCATGCATGCACTGTGCACGTCACTATGCTTAGATTGTGTTTTCTTCAAAAGTCACGCATTTTGTCGCAATTTCTTCCTTAGTAATCATTTTCTCAATGTGCGCCTGCGCTAACGTTCACACAGGCGCTGCAAGAGTGTTAGTTTGGGCACGTTAAATAAATGCTTGATCAATTACTCAGCCCTTACGCAGCCCTGATCAATTGCGGCAAAAGAGTCTTCGCCCTTCCTCACAAGGTGCCAAACTGAGTTCGGGGCGTTGGCTCTCAGATTATAGTGCAGACGGAATCGTAATTCCCGGCCTAGCTTAATTCTTAAGCCTATACATTTATACCGACACTAATCCGAACAGCTCTTGCAGGCACCACAAACGACTTCGCCAGCTTATAGACCACATGCGCAGCCACTCATTATGCGGTACGACCCAAACGAATGAAGTCAAGTGGCTATCCGCAATCAGAAGATGCCGGGGCTCAACCATGGGTTTTCCAGAGGGCCCACGATGCGGCGGTCGGGCTTGGTCATGACTGTCATCAACGTGGGATCGCGGCCCGCTCAGTCGTGCACACCAGGACTTTCAATGAAGCTTTGCATCTATCCATCCATCAATTTCCCAACTGCCAATCGTCTCTCACCCGCATATTGTGGGCGCGCGCCACAGCAGACTACTTGGCGCATGAGCATACGCGTGCAGATGTATAGAGGGTTTCAAGGTCACAAGCGTCGTACCCCAAAAAACTTCCTGTCACCTCATTTACCAGCTCCTAACGTCGACACTCAAAGCATGTTTTAAGTTTTTTTTTTTCAAGTGTAAGGAAAGTCTTTAATTAGCTTTTCACATAAAGGACCGCGCGTTAACCTCAAGGGAATCTCTTACGTTTTTTTATGTAGCTGAAAAGAACATCTAGCCCCGCCGCGGTGGCCTAGTGGCTGAGGTACTCGGCTGCTCACCACAGGTCGCGGGTTCGTATCCCGGCTGCATTTCCGATGGAGGCGGAAATGTTGTATAGGCCCGTGTGCTCAGATTTGGGTGCACGTTAAAGAACACCAGGTGGTCGAAATTTCGGAGCCCTCCCCTACGGCGTCTCTCATAATCATATGGTGGTTTTGGGTCGTCAAACCCTAAATATCAATCAAAAGAAGGTCTATTTGAATATATTTTGCCAAATAAGGGAATAAAAGTGTAGAAAACGAGCAGGCTATTTTCTGAAGCTCTTCATGTCCACCGATGCTATTATTATGGCACATCGGTGGATGAAGCCAGATGTCACCAAGGGCGTGTGTTTGTAAACAGTGAAAGGGTCCGTAGCAGCTTTCCCTTTCAATTCATTACCAAGCGAAACTGTCTCCTACTATCCCACGCGCCTTTCGAACGCTATATACCAAAGGCTTCTAGATCATGCAGTTTTCGAAGGCAAGACACTTTCGACCTTATCAGAACGATATGAGCACAGATAAAAAAGAAAGGCTTTCACGCCGCATCAGTTGCACACGCCGCCTTTCGTAAGCGGGCGGCCTTTTAAGAAAACAATGAGGCCGCGTGACAGCGACCAAACAGAGCACCCTAAACACATGACGAGCGCGTTCCGTGTGGCCCACGTGTGTTTGGGTTTGCTAACATCCGAGTGCGTGGGCTCTCATTATCGCAGTGAGTACCAAAACGACTACGCGACTACGATGAAGGCCGTACGTAGTGCAAGGTTCCGGACTATAACCTCGACCACCTGAACCTATCGTTTTTGGGACGTTAAACTACACATAGCTATAATCAACCTGAACCTACTGCTTGCGGCTGTGTTCTCTGCATTTCGCCCGAATCGAAATGCGGTCGCAATGCGGGAATCGAACCCGTGCCCTCGATATTAGCTCTCAGCTCTCATTATGGGGCTTCTAGCAGTGCGGTATTGCTGAACCGCATGTACCCTGCGGAACACGAAACGCTCTGTCCAATTCGCAAAAGAGAGCATGACACCCTGCCGCACGTTCTGACAAAGTGCAGGAAACTCGAGACCCCCCTCCCCTTTTCCCTCCCCCCCCCAACACCCCGTGAGCGATATAGGAGACAATGTTACCCAGCCCCGCCCAAATGACTCAGCTCGCATTGACGGACAGGGACCAGGTACATACGCGTTGGGTACATACGCGTTCCGCAACTAGGTCTGGTGTGGGAGCTCGCTCGCTGGATTCCGTGCCGACCGGTTGTGCCCTCGCGATCTCCGACATCAGCGTAGCTCTGGCCGACTGGGCTCGCCCTACGTCATCTCCTGACGCCGATCTCCGACGAAAGCGTAGCTCTGACATACTGGACTTGCTCTACGCCATCTCCTGACGTCGACAAGAGCTCTCGAAAGTGGTGCCCCGTCCTCGGACTCCTGTGACCGTGTTTCCATCTTTCCTATATCTCCTATCCCCTCGATATGTCCTTGATCGCTCGCTTAGCGCATCTGTCTTTCTCTATACCTTTACTTCTATCCTTTTAATCCTTCCTCACCCCCATCCCCTGTGAGCTACTGTTGAGGTGTCGCACCCTGGTGCAGACAGTTACGGAGCTCACTTTTTTCTTCCTTTCTCTCTTAGAACCACTTTGTAGGTCTGGTGTATGCGTGCACTACACCAACAATGTTGGGTCTATAATAAAAGTTGATTCATCATCATTATTGCGTTGCTACAAAGTCCCAGAAGAAAAAGAGAAAATGTATGTGCCGCAACAGAGAGACTATAACCACATTCTCACGCAGCATCATTACCGTTTTCTGTAAGACAGCGCAATGAGTGAAATATACATCGTTGGCAAGCGTTGCCGTCGTTTGGTGCGACACAACACGCGAAGTGGCATATACGGGTTTGAATTAGTGACGACCTCAATTATACCGCCACTGGACCTATACGTTGTGCGGTATACACGACTGCAGGGAGTTCTGCATAAATGCGCTGTCATGCTAATGCTGCGCAACTATCAGCTTGTTTCGCGCCCTTATCGCTCACGTGCTTGCACAGAGGCTCGACTGTTGGGTCGACGCAGATAACACCGCGGCCGTGTCGCCTTCTTTTGCTATCAGCTTGAGCGCCTCGAAACACGCGATCAATCAGAGACCGCGATTCCTCACCTCGCTCTAGCGGTTTATGTATCCCGTACGCAGATAATGTTTTCTGAGAAGGATTCGTGCGTTTCAACGGCAACTTTTCAAGGCCTGTCGTCGACAGATAGCGTAAACCTAAACGTAAACTTACAGGGGCACGATTTTTCAGAGACTGAAAACTTTTATGCAGTACAACCTTACATACCTCCCTTCTAAAAGAAAAAAAAAAGGGGGGGGGGGTAGGAAAACGCAAGAAAAACGTAATCAATAAAACATCGCGCAACAATAATGATATCGCGAACGTTGGCACGGGGAAATTTGATATCACGAACGTTGGCACGAGGAGGGAGGGGGGGGGGGGTGCGCTGAGAATGCCGGGAGTGGAGGATTCAGGCGTAGATTCTTTTTTTTTTCACTCTGCTCGGCTTCGTATGCCACTTTTTATTTAAACAGGCTTTTCGAAGATAACCCCGAACTATGCAGCAGGCACGCATTGTTGATACTGATAAGCTCTCCAGATGGATGTGCTGAACGTTTCATGGTACGTACCTGTCGCAGTAACGTGCAGTACTGATGCTCACACGTTAACGTTCGTTATATGTTCGTGTCACCAGGAGGAGACGACGTCGACTCGACAATTAATTTTAAGAGAAAGTAAGTCGTGCACACGATTCCTACCAATGTGATGTTTAGCAACAAAACTTAGTGCGCTGAGAGCACGCCGTCCGTGCACTTACCTCGACGAGGTGTTCCCGTGACTCGAATTGCGAGAGCAGCACGTTCTTGCCGTCCGACACCCGGGTGAGGGAGACGTGCAGTCGTCCGCTGCACAGCTTGTGCGCGTTCTCCGGCAGCAGCTTGCACAGGCCGTCGTGGATGATGCCGTTAATGTCGAAGCCCGGGTGGAGGGGACCCAGGGCACGCTGGCGGGCACGCACGGCCACTCGCAGAACGTACGTCGTCGTCTCGCCTAGGAGAGAGAGAAATAAAGGTGTATTGGTTAAGAGACGACGCGAATAACGAAGAGAGAAAGAATGAGGCAGGAAAGGGTACCATCTAAACGAGAGGCGGCATTCATTGTACACACTGCACTTAAGAAGCAGGGTGTGAAGGGAAAATAGCGAAAGTATGCAACCATGCATGCCAGGTCGCAGAACAAGTGATTCATTAATTTGCAGTAACGTTCCTTATTGTAGCGGAAGGTGCGAGAAGCGATTCGAGTATGCACAACCACGATATAGAGAAATACGAATGGTAATAAAACAAATGGAGCGATGGTCATTTCTAGTGACGAGTTACTACGAGCATACTCAGTCGACCGAAAGTAAGAGGGACAAGGCAAGTTTACTATATGACGACGATTCACAACTGTGGCGTAGCACGTTTCCGCAATGGAATCATGTAAAACGGGACCGACCACGAGCATATGGCGCGCCGACGAGGAAAACGTAAAAAAATAGCAACAGCAGTTACTGCGAGTAAAGAAACTGGACGTGTCAGAAAACTCTAAAAACAACATCGTACGCCCCCTCTCCGGGAAACAAAATGCTAACTTGATACATTAAAGACTCGATAATGCGTAGCCCTCGCCAGCATTATTATTATTATTATTATTATTATTATTATTATTATTATTATACAGAGTCTTCCCTTGTCGGTCTTTCGGGAAGGCTTCCGCATAAATGTGTGTATTCCACATTGTTTCTCGCTCCCATTCCACGATTCTCATATTCTCTTTTTTGTTCATCCCATTTCGCGCTGATTTCTTTTTGTCTGCGCGTTTTGGCTCTTTTCATTTGATTTTTTAACTGTCTGTATAGTGTAGTTATTTCTCATTGTAGAACTGTTTGCGCGCGCCTGCACAAAGACTTTATGGTCGTTCCTGGGCAGGTTAAATCAATAATTTATTTATTATTATTACGTCACTTTCATAGTTCTTTCGTATATAAAAAAACAAAAACACGGCAACACCACGGCACGCATTGATCGCCCTTTTGCGCAACGCACCCCGCTCGCGGAAGCGGGCAGCCGTGCGACACAGTGATACACGTATATACCTCGGTGAGTGAGTGAGCAGTTCAGTGGAACTGCGCAAGCCCCCACCAGGGCTCTCGGAAAAAAGAATGGCCAATTAAGAGCGCGCGGGAGTATGTAGGGAAGTGAGAGAGCTTCGATAAAGAAACAAAGGAAGGAAATAATAATAAAAGTCACGTACACACAGACCGCGTGCACTTCATCTGACCCGCGACGTTTGCGCTGAACTTCCGCGATTCGGCCGAATGCGCGTGCCTCACACCATCAGATCACCGGCTCAGAGATTCCGTGAGAAAATAAAGGGCCGAAAGGCTTTCGGTACCCCGTTTGAAGCGTGCGGGATGCTATTCTAAGAGAAATGTGCTAAACTATAAAAAAATGGTATGATCTTAAAATTAGTACTACTAACCTGACAATTAGACTGTTCTGTAACTGTTTATTTCCTCTAAAAAAGGCAACACATGGAAGCGGACAGAAATGCGGGATAGAATACTTCGACGGCTGTGCTTGTGCTTCATACGGCGCCTCCGGTTAACATCTGCGGCACCGTTTATAGAAGAAACAAGTTTTACTGACAGTGCAAATAAAAAGAAAACATCATTATTGGGACCATATCTTCGGAATTGATACGGCCGTGACAGCGAAGTAAAAACAATACATGAATAATTATAGGGAATTGTATGTACTTATGCGGTTGGCTTCATTGCGTGTCTATAGGCGAGTGAAGCTCAATGCCATTCAGAAGTGCCAATGTTGAAAACTTGATGAAATCCGTCACCCTAAACGTCAACCCCTGCAAATGTACAAGGTGATGTTGCGTTTAAACTAAAGAACCAAGAGGGGATGGGAGGCGCAGAATGCAGATAACTGGTTTTTTTTCCTCTACCCAGTTTTTTTCCGGCGCGACAGAAAGCTTACCCATCGTACAGTGTTCATATTTGCAGAAGTTAATTCCAAAAGCACGTAATCATTTTATAAGCAGTATTTTTCGAACTAAAAGGCTCTGAACACGGATGAACCCTTTCGTTCAGCAACGCTGAGAATTGATAGCGATGGCGGTAGTCTTCCTGGCGACTGCTGCATGCTGTAGTTGTTCTGCTTTCTCAGGAGTTCCGGTAATTGTGTTGAACCAAGTTTATTCTGAATTTTACAACTATTTTCGAAAATAGCAGGCCGTTACAATGAGACGATGAGGCTCAGCCTCTTTGTATTTGTGCCTCGTTGCGTGCGCCTGCGCCCAATATTGCTGCGCCCGTGTCGTGGGCGGTTTGTCCCATCGTCGTTACTTTCTCAACACACGAGCCAAGCCAAGTCAGCGATAACATCACAGCGCATACGCGCGGCCATGGCGACTAGCAAGCAGTACGCGCCATTTCTGAGACAAATGGCCGAAAAACGACGTCGCTCCAATATCTTAGCGACCCTGAAACTGCGTGCACGATTTCATGAGCGTGCAGAAAAGTTGTGCAAGACGCGCTGACGAGCATGTGATCATTACTTCAGGAGAAAGCAGCGCCATTTTAATGCGTACTACTTACGTAAATACATGTACGTATTTATGAAGTAATACCTTTTGCTATAAAGAAGCACACAATATTTCAATATTAACCGGGAAATTGTAGGCCACGTACGCTACTTTACGGTCACATGACAGGGCACATCGGATAATTGACATTTCTGCCACCAGGTGACACCACAGGCTAATTTCGCGATGTTCAATGAATAAATAAAAATGTACCTCCACTTTTCACGAGAAAAACAGGACTGGTTATGAGTCGCTAGGAGGGACAATCTTTCCATCCGTGCAGTCATCTCATTAAATGTTCTCTGCAGCTGTCGCTCCTTTTGAACATGTAAGGACGAAAGAAAACTGAAAGGACCAAGTTTCATAAAGCGACTGCGTGAGGGTTCGAAGGAGGGAAACGCGAATTACGTTAACCTTAGAATAAACGCTACTGCAACACTTTCCCAGAGTCGAGACGAAGTCCAAAGGAGTCCATCACAGCCAGGTCTCGGAAGCGGTGATCAACGGTTCACAAAACATCTTCCCCGACCTCTCGTCGGTTTTATCTTCGAAAACGTCAGCAAAACCCGCGTGCCGGCTCTTCTCGTAATCGAAACGAACTCATTCTTCTTCAGTTGGCGAGCGCAATCACTCCACTACAAGCACACTATCCCTAAGTGACTCTTCAGGCCCCTCTCCCTCTTATCGGTGCGTACAAACGCACTCGACCGCTTCACTCCACTCACCCACTTTTCCTCGAGTGAAGGGGCGTCTTCACACCGCCAACGTACCGCAGTGGCTCGCACGAAGGGTGCGAGTGTGACGCCCTTTCCGCTATCTCTGCTCACATTCTTCAATATACTCTCACTCTCCAATCTCAATCATCGCTTATCTCTGGCTCGAGCGGCGTCCGCATTGCATTTTATCTCTCTTCACTGTTGTGGCACGCGTCGCTACGTAGGCGATTTATCGCCGCCGCCCTGGCGGAGAAAAGATCGCGCCACTGCTACGCCAGACTGGCTGGCGCCTCCCTGCAAACCCTTTCTTCCCACGGATTCTCTCTTTGTCATTTCGGCCGAGCCATGTTGGTAGAGCTCAAAGCGGCCTCTTTTCGACGTGTACTGTTGTAGGGCGAAACGCGTGATGAACTCCCGTTGTTTTTGTTATTCAATGCGGCTCAATGCATGTCACCAAGTACGGCCAAACATTGCTCCCGCACACGCACTCACTGTGTTAATGACGTGGCGAAAACAAGCCGCTCCCAGCGAAATATTGTCCTGCTTCGCGGTTTCGAGCGGCAGTGTTCCTAGTCCTCCAATATGTCTCCCGCGGCTAACGGTACTGAACAAAAAAAGTGGTATTAAATTTGGTACTCTGATCACCTCCCTGGCTTCAAGCAAAAACTCTTCCTCTTTCCACTCACCATCTCTCAATTCGGCCACGTCAGCGGAGCACGGTATGCGTTTTTTTTACTTTTTTTTTGGAAAGTGAAGATACCGGGTATGCCCAAATTGTTCAAACCAGTAAGCATGGAAGAAAGCGAAATTATATGATCAGTATGTGCCCTGCCCTGTCTATACATTAACTGACAACACCGCTAAGAGAAATTGTTGCGTCATAATCACTCGTGACACTTAGCGCAAGCAGCTCCCGCAGAGTATACAGCTAACTCGTTTGGCGCAAATTAACACGACCCCATCATGACGTGACGAGGAAATGAACGAGCACTACAGAAACAGTTGCTAATCCTTGTGAACCTGTCGCTGCACGGAATATTCTGGCCAAGCTTCCAGTGTGGTATATCGATCACTTCACTGTCATACGAGCACCCATAGCATTTCACGCAAAATCTGGATTCCTGTAACGACCTTGAACCTAAGAATATAATATACGCTGCCCGTGTAGCCAGCGCACAGCTCCAAGCAGAGCCAATGCTCATGCATGCCTCGGACGTTCTGTCGCGAACGGGTCTTTCAGTTCCCGTAAAAGGAACTGCCGCGACCACTCACTCGCGTATACAGAAGTGCCAGTAGAAAAACTGGTTTCGTCGTGGTAAATGTAGGACGCCTTAACGTGATCACCCCACATTGGTTATCGCTCGGGCGAAATTCAACGACGCGGGCGCGCGTAGGGATCCGGTAAATGTGTCATCAGATAACGTAACACGCGCCACCACAGAGGGCCAAGGGCAGAGTTAAGCGATTCCCACCGCGTGTAGTTATCATGGCGAGTGGTACACAGAGTGTTGTCGCGCGCACATCTGGTTACACGAAGAAAGGAAGTACACGCACGCATTGCAACGAGATACCTCTTTTGGTTATTGCTGTGTTTGGTAGCATTGATACGAGCAATCGCTCGCGTCGTGATTACCGCGTCGGGCCGCAGATTTTTTGGTATACGTAATGATGAGTATGAAGTAGGCGGTATATAGC